CCGCCGCTCCCGCTCCGCCCGCTGCGCCCGGAGCCCCCGCCCGGCCCGGACACCTGCACGCAGCCAGCATGGACAAGTACGACGACCTGGGCCTGGAGGCCAGCAAGTTCATCGAGGACCTGAACATGTACGAGGCCTCCAAGGACGGCCTCTTCCGCGTGGACAGGGGCGCGGGCAACAACCCTGAGTTCGAGGAGACGCGCAGGGTGTTCGCCACCAAGATGGCCAAGATCCACCTCCAGCAGCAGCAGCTGTTGCAGGAAGAGCCGCTGGCCAGGGGCGGCCGGGCTCCTGTCCACGGCGGGGGCCACCCGGGGCCCACGCTGGCTGCTGATGGGGCTGCCAAGCCCCCTCTTGCGGCCTCCGCGGCGGCCCCCGGGGTGGCTGCCACCGCGGCTCCTGGCCAGCCTGCGCACCCAGCCCTGGAGCAGAGGGCCGGGCCCAGGCCTGGTAGCCAAGAGCACGCAGCCAGGGAGGGCCCGGGGAGTTCGGAGAGGTCTGCTGGCCACCAGCCGGGCCCCTGCGAGGACCCGTCCTGCCTCACGCACGGAGACTATTACGACAACCTGGCCCTGGCAAGCCCCACGTGGGGCGAGAAGCCCGGAGTGTCCCCCACCGCAGGCCTGGGTACAGGGAGCAGGTGGCCTGCTGCCCCTGGGAGTGATCTCTCACTGCCCAGAGCTGGGGGAGACCGTCACCTGTACCAGCCACAGCTGTCCTTTGGTAGTGGCCTCCGTGGCCAGGACACGAGTGTTGGTGGCCCCAGCAGTGGGAAGTCGGCAGGCCTCTGGTCCACCGCCTCGTCCCAGAGGGTGAGCCCGCTCCTTCCGTCCCCGGGCCTGGAGAACGGGGCCCCATCACAGCCCAGGAGTCCTCCAGTGTGTGCGCCCCCGGCCCCCAGCCAGGGCGCCCTTCCGAGAACAAACGCGGGGCTAGGGTGTGAGGCCTCGGGTGTGCTGGCCAAGCCCACCGTGGATGCCCAGCCGTGGTTCCAGGACGGGGCCAAGTCTCACCTTTCCAGCTCTGCCCCGTTACCCTCGCTGGCCGGCAAGGACGTCCCTGGCCCTGGGCCTAAGCGTGCCTTCGCGGACCCCGGCGCTGGTCCCAAGCTCGGCACCACTGGCCCTGGCCACCCAGGGTTACCCTCCCTGCAAGAGCTGTCATGTAAAGAGGATCCTGCTGGCTGGTCCCCCGACCGCGGCCTGGGCCCGGGGCTCCCAGAGGCACCCAGCTCCCCCAGGGTGAGGCTGCCCTGCCAGACCCTGCTCCCGGGCCCTGAGCTTGGCCCCTCCACGGCGGAGCTGAAGCTGGAAGCCCTCACGCAGCGCCTGGAGCGGGAGATGGACGCCCACCCAAAGGCCGAGTACTTCGGTGAGTCGCCCTGGTCGGGTGCCAGGTCCTCACACGGAGGCCGGGCGGTCGCTGATGAGTGGCCTGGGCTTGGCCTGCTGGCCTTCCTGCCTTCCTTTCTTCCTTCTTTCCTTCCTTCCTCTTTCAGCTGCTTCTTCTGACTCATGAAAGCATCCTTGGTCGGAAGCTGACCTTGCAGCTGGGAGCTGCCCACCTGTGGAGGTGGCTGGGCCGGCTCGGAAGTGGGAGGTGACTGCAGCTTTCCAGGGTTTTGCTGTGGCCTTTGAGCCTCCTCAGTGCTTGCCCAAGGCCATCTGTCCCCGGTGGTCAGCGTGTGGCTCTGCCACAGTGTGCAGAATACGTGTGGGTGTGTCCCCAGGACTTCGGAGCAGCTGAGGCCGGTGCACCAACCCCAAGAGGCCGGCTGCTCCGGGGCAGAGGTTCTCCAAGGGCGGTCCCTCACCCAGGAACTGCTTAGGAATGGAAATTCTCAGTTGGCCATGGTTGCACACCTATAATCCCAGCACATCGGGAGGATCAGAGGGGAGGATTGTCGAGAGTTTCAGCCCAACTGGGGCTACGTAGTTCAAGGCCAGTCTGGACTACATAAAGAGACCCTGTCTCAAAAACCAGAAAACAAACAAACAAAAAATGGTCCCAAAAAAAGGTCATTCTCGAGCTCCTGAAAGTTTGGGATGGGGCGCAGCTCAGGGGGGCGGTCCTGTGTTCAGTGGTGGCCGGTGCTCCCCCTGGGCAGGGAGACCCCACATCCCATGCTCGCCAGGGTGGGTGCTCACCCAGCACCCAGCACCCAGCCACCTGCCAGGGGCACCCACAGCGAGGGCTGAGAGCCCATGGAAGGGAGTTCGGGCCGGTTTTGCCCAAACCTGCAGGTTTTGTTTCATTCTTTTTTCAAACCACCGGCCCCTGGAGACTGCTGGCCCTGACTTTTTCTCTGCGTGGTGGTTGGCGGAGCAGGAAGGTACCTGTTGCTCCCATTGGGAGGCCAGGGCTGCCTGAAAGGGAGCCTGTCATTAGGAGTCTGAGGCTTTCTGTGTGTGTGTGCACATTTTTAAACTCTGGGTTACGGAGCTCACAGTTGCCCCTCGCTGGCCTCGGCCCTGGTGGGGTGCCGCTCCGCCACGCGGAGGAGCTGTCCCCCTTCCTCTAGGGCAGCAGGCTTGTGTGTGACCCACGGTGGCGCTGTGCTTTTGCCCCTCCTGAGAGCTCGGGGTGCAGCCCTCAGCCCACCCCGTCAGAAGTCAAGGCTGAAGTTTCCTGGCTTGCTTTTCGCGTCCCGGTGTCTCTCTGCTGTGAACCAGCCCTTCTCTTACAGACCTTCCCTTCGTAGCGGGAGAGCCTGTGGCTCTTCCAGCTTCCTGCTGAGTTTTCAGTTCGAGCACAGGGAGCAGTGCAGCGGCAGTTCTGTGGTTCAGGGTGCAGGTCGTGCGGGACGGGAGCAGGGATACCGCGAGCCCCGTCGCTCATCCAGCGCCTTGTCCCCAGCGCCTTGTCCCCTTGCTCTAGGCTGGCACCTGGGGGTCCACGGGGAGCGAGACAGGCAGAAGCCTCAGCCTCCCTGAGAAGACAGAGGAGGCGGAGCGGCAGAGCTGGCAGCAAGTGCTGGGAGAGGGCCGGCTGCAGGCTGGCCCGGCAGGGAGGTTTGCAGCTTGGGGTCACGTGGTCCGAGGCGCCCCAGGAAGTGGCATGTGGGTAAAGCCTGGAAGGAGAGTGGCACGGCTTTCGGGAAGAGGGCGTTCAGGCCGGGAGGGCAGCGCGCCCAGGGTAGCTGCCTTTGAACACCGACTGCAAGGGACACCTATTGCATCCGTTCCTGCCTTCGTTTTCGCCGTGCTGGGGTGGACCCAGGACCCTTGTGTGCTAGGCACGTGCTCCGCCACTGAGCTCACCTCCAGCCCTGGTGCATTTACTTATTACAAAAATTGGAGTAAGCTGGGCATGGTGGCATGTGCCTATGACCCCAGCACTCGGGAAGCTGAGGCAGGAGGAGTGCCTCAAGTTCAAGGCCAGCCTGGGCTATGAAGCAGCTGTCTCCAAAAAAAAGAAAAGAAAATTGAAGTAAAATGTATATAACAAAATTAACTGCTTCACCAGGTGTGGTGATGCGGGCCTGTAATCCCAGCGCTCGGGAGGCTGAGGCAGGAAGAGCGCTGTGAGTTCAGGACCAGCCTGAGCTACAAAGTGAGCTGAAGGCCAGCCTGAACTGCATGGCGAGACCCTGTCTCAAAAAGACAAAATTAAGTGCTTCAAGCGAGCAGTTTGTGATATATGAAGCATCCACAGCATTGTGCAGCCACCACCACGATCTAGTTCCAGGACACCTTCCTGGTCCCCTGCGGTGCGTTTGCGTCTTGTCCCTGTTGATTCACCCCCTCTGGGTCTTTCCTGTAATGCGATCCTGTGTTCTTCTTTTTCACGAAGCGTTATGGTTGTGCGTAGAAAATCCCCAAACACTGCAGGGAGCATATTGAGCCACACGCAGTCTCCTCACGCCTATCGCCTGCCAAGCGCCCCGACGGGATGGACACGAGTGTGTCTGCGGTGGGGCTGCTGTCTGAGGCCCCTTGCGTCCCTCCTGCACACAGTTGACCCCATCACGTGAGCGGCCCTCGATGATGGGGGCATGGTCTGCTCCGCTCACCCTGGCAGCAATGTCTGTCCGTCTGTCCGTCCCATCCGTGCATCTGTCTGCCTGCCCGCCCCCCGTCGCTCTTCCTGGCCTGCTCTTCCTGGCTGGCTGTGTGGCAGGAAGTCCCTATGCTCAGGCCTCCTGTGGACCTTGAGACTGTGAGCTCTCCCGGGCCACCTCCCTCCGGGCAGAACCTGGACCGGGGTTGTGGGTAGGAGATGGGGCGCCTGGGCCCCTGCGCACTCCACGGCCCTGCTGAGCCGCGGCCTCCTCGCTGTCGTGCATACAGGTCTCTGGCTGGGGCGGAAGGGCTGGCTTGTGCTCTCTGCCTTTGTGACCCCGAAGAAAGTCTTTATGTCTCCCTGCTTCCTCCATGAATAACCCAGAGTGTGAAATGGAGCTTGAGACATGGCCATTTTGCCAGAGCTTTTGAAAGCGTTGTTTCTTTTCTTTTTCAGTTTTTTGAGACAAGGTCTCATTGTGCAGTTCAGGCTGGCCTTGAACTCACTGTGTAACCCAGGCTGGCCTCGAACTCGCAGCGATCCTCCTGCCTCAGCCTCCTGAGTGCTAGGCTTACAGGTGTGCGCCACCACGCCTGATTCACACATTATGCTTCTTTACGTTTGTGGGTTTATAAATTCCATATAGGAGGCAAAACTGCGGAGAAAGTGTGCATTTAAGTGTGTAGCTCAGTGATCGAGTGCAAGAGGCCCTGGGTTCTGCCCCCCACCGCACATACACACACACACACACACACACACACTCACACACACAAAGAAATAAATAAGATTCAATTACAGGAGCCAGTACAGTGTATAACATTTCAAATGAACATAAAATAAAAATAATTGGGAAAAACTGGAGGGTGCACTTGAGAGCCGGAGGGAGATGTAGGAGGAGCCTCGTGACCTTGGGGACCCCGCCCTGCCCGCAGTCCCGGGGTGGTGGCAGTGGCTGTCATGAGATGCCTGGCCTGGGGCTGACTGTGTGCCAGTGGACTGGGCGGCCTGGCCACCGGCCGTGGCAGAGAGCCTAGAGGGGCCGGGCCCGAGGCTGCCCGGCCTGGCCCTCGGAGACCTCTCTGGAACGCCAGGGCGAGCTCTGCCCTTAGTTCCGGTCACGTTTTCGGTTGCAAGTGGCAGCCATTTTCACTTCGGCTGTTCTGCAGAGCAGGCGTGCAAAGTCAGAACTCTTGAGTCCCGCCAGGTCCCCTGCCTGGGAGGATGTGGCCAGGGTTCGGGTTTGCTGCAGAACATTGTCCCCGGCACCAGGGGCGGCGGGCTGTGTCCTGAGCCAAGGCGGGCTTGCCGGCAGAGTGTGTCCAGTTGAAGTGACCAGGACCCAGGGCCACCCTAAGGAGACAGTGAGGTGGCCGCTGCCTGAGGGCCACTGAGGCTCCGGCTCTGTGGCCTCCTTTGTGCAGGGGTGGCAGGGCCCCCTGGGTGACCCCGGGGCTCGGCCTAGTTCTCAGGCACAGGACACAGGGCAGGAGCCTGGTCCAGGGCGTGGGTGTCCCTGTGCCCCGCACATGTGGGCCCCCCGGAAGTCTGCTGAAGGGACAGTGGGCTTCAGTTCTCTCGGGGACACCGGAAGAGAAGGCTGGGCGGATGCTGCCCAGGGCTGCCAGTCGGGGAGCCCGCCCCTCCTGCGTCGCCCACCCCTCCTCACTGACAGGGGACACTTCTGCCCGACCTGCGGTGGCCACAGTGCCTCGCAGGCCCCCTTTGTCACAGCCCTGTGCTTCCAGCGGCTGACAGGCAGTGCGAGATAGAGGTCAAGACCTTCAGCACCGTGGCCAGCCCCGGTGCAGCTGCTCAGTAAGTGGGTAAGGCAGGTGGTTGGAGTGCCGCGTGCCTCAGTTTCCCCATCTGTGGAAAGGGGACAGTAAGGGAGCTGCTGGGAGGATCATGCAAGTTAATACATGTAGGAGGCTTAGAAATGTACCTTTTTCAGGCTGGGCATGGTGGCACACACCTGTAATCCCAGCACTTGGGAGGCTGAGGCAGGAGGCTCACCAGGAGTTCAAGGTCAGCCAGAACTGCATAGGGAGACTCTGTCAAGAAACCAAGAGGAGGAATATACCGTCTTCACAGACTGTCAGACTGTTCAGAGCCCAGCCCTGGCTCAGATCTCGGTCCTGTCCCCTTATCGCTGTGGCTGAGGTCCCTCTGTTCTCTTGGGACCGCTGTGCAGGCAGGGGTGAACCAGCTCGCCGCCCTGGGCCTGCTGGGCAGAACCCTCCCCGGCAGCGCACAGGTCCCCGGTGTGTCCACAGAGGGGCAGATCTTTCCATCTACCCCGTTCCTGTTTTCCGCTCTCACTTCCTGTCAGCTGGGACGGGGACAGGGGCACCCGAGGGGCTCTGGAAGGC